TATAATTGTAAAAGTAAATGATCAGTATAATTTATTATTAATATCAATATAAACAGTAACACAAAAAATTGTTGAGTATAAACTATTTAAAAATCAAAAACTAATCATGTTGTCCATGTATTGTATTGAATTGGCTGACAAACAGTGTTATATAAGAGATGGTCTTAAATACGATGGAAAAAGGTATAAATTGATTTGACACTTAAAGTAACGGATAAGTTTGTTCAAATTATATATAACCTTGTTATTAATAGTAAAACGTTAAATTTTAGTCGTTATGGTTTTGGTAATTAATAAATTTAATTGCTTTATATTAATCTATATTTTTATGTTTAAAAAACTTTTTTGTGTTTAAATTTTAGAAAACATTTTATTTTCATTTAATAGTATTTTAAATAAATTATTTCTTAATTATAATAAAGTAATTCTCGAAATACTTTATATTTATTTTTTAAATTTTAAATGCCACTGTTTATATCAGTTATTAAATTAAATAAAAATTAATATTAATTTAATTATATATTGATATTTATTATTTATTTTATATAATTTGTTTATAATTTTAGAAAAGATATTTATCCATTTTATTAATAATAATTATCATTAATTACAAATTACAGTAATAATGATAAAAACATTTAGTTAATAGAAACTTTAATAACATATTACTATAAATTGTTATTATTATAAACTTTATAATTTAATTAAAATTAAATGAATGATACTTAGGATCCACAGCACTATCGCAGTGTTTTATTAATCGGTTGACAGCAATGTCCGCATCACTCGAGTCACGCATTTGTTCGCAAATATTCACAAAAATATGCAGTTTTGACAACACGTATGGATTCTGTAATAAATGATTAAAATGTTTTTTATTTAATTTTAAAGCATAAAATCTTTACAAACTTGTGATAAAATATAGCAATTTTGGTGGAAAGTGTCGACCAGTTGTCGATAACAGTGTCTATTATTGAGCTCTTGTTTCGTATGGAGTATAGAATTGGTTGCGATGTTTGGCATTAAGTGTTGAATACTATTCACGTATTCATACAATTGTTTGTCAATCATATGCCTCTCATCTAATAGTCGTTGCAATTCGTGTGCATAACTTAAAAACAAAATTATAAAATTTAAACTTTAAATTATAATAAATTAAATAAAACTTACCGTAACTTCTCGTTTACATCCCTTGCAGAATCAATACGTTTTTGCGCTAAATATAGTTCACGGTCTCTGATATGTACCCCATCTGTTGCCACATTATTTTGATATTCATAATTGATCTCATCTAATAAATTTTCATATACATTATCAGGACCTAGATACAAAATTAAATTTTAAAAAATCACATTACATAATTTAATTATTAATGTTAAATAGATTACCTAGAAACTGTGAGACAGGTAACTCCGCAATAGATATATCCCCAAACTGTTGGGCGTGTTGCTGGTAATGGTATGTCTTATTACCGATGTATTGCGTAATATTCATGGCATAGGTGTCAATGTAATGAAACTGATCCAGAAGTGTTTCCCGTTGTAGGTCCCGGTGCTCGCTGTTATACATCCATTGGTCTGTGAAATAGTCACCTGGTAAAATTAAAATAAATATTTTTCCTAAATTAATCTAAATTTAACTAGTAATTATATTTAACCATGCGTACTTAGCCATATATCTAATGATTCAATATTATATTTGGCAAAACTAAATTCCTGTGCAGTCGATGAGGTCACGGCGTATACATTAATGTCACTTGGTAATAGTTTCTCAAACATACTTCCTAATAATATTTTAAATAAAAATTATTTACAAAATTAATTACCTTATAAAAACTTACCAGACTCACACGCCATTACGTAAAATACTAGTTTTGAGAACTTATTATTTTTATGCATATCTATTAGGGCGGTGTTTAAGTCCTCGGCATATAGGTTATCCCATGGGAAGCATAATAACTCTGTAAATATAAAAGTTAAATATATTTGTTTATAAATATTTTAATTACATATATACCTTCACCACCATGGTCACTAAAATAAACAAATATATGATCGTTTGGTCCGCTATTTAGTACTTTTTTGCCTTGCTCAGCCAATTTTGGATCTCCTCTAAGTACTCGCAATAAATTCTTAAACAAAAATTAATTTTTTTAATTTATTACTAAAATTTTTAGAACTAATTTCCAAAATCCTTAATTACCTGGGCACTATCCTCGTGTCCGGTATAGTCTTTGGGTACTCCATGATAGACATCAGTGCCATTAGGTTCGTTGATTACGACACCTGGTGTCGGATTTTTAGGATTATTTGCAATATTGTCGGCGTGAAATACAATTATATTTTCATCGGGTATACCACGGGAATGAACTAGTTGATACGCGTGATAAACACTAGCCTATGTATTATAAAATACGGTATATATCGAAATTTATTATACAAATATTTCAAAATAAATATATAACATTTACTTTAAAACTTTGTTAATTAAACATGCATATAAAACATATTGTTACCTGCGCATTATAGTCAGTCCAGCCATAACCACCAGCTACCAGAATAACCCATTGAGTATAATTATTTATATTTAAATCATCATGCAACACTGATCCATTTACCGTTAAATACAAAAGACATAAAATATATATAGTTTTCATATTAAAATACAAAATAATTATAGATTTATAAAAATATTTGTTGCGATACTTTTTATAATTAAGTTATTTAGTATTTATAGAGACCTTTATCAATTTATTTAATAACTATCATATTACGATAATACCGTTGGAGGTAAAAAATTGAATGAGTGTATATTATCTTATAAAATTTCCAAGAAAACCATTTAGAGTTAAATTGGCTTAATTATCTATAATTTTAACTGCGTAGCTGTAATTTTAAATTGATATATAGAAATAAACTTTACCCTTAAGTGGCAGGCACAAAGTACTTCTAACTCGCTATTAGCAAATCTTGGCTATTTTTTGTAAATATTTAAGAAACTTTTATCCCTGCTAATTTATTTTTACTATAATAACACAATTTTTGCATATTTCTTATAATGTTAATAATTTTTAATTGTAAAAAATTAGTTATTTATTAAGTGATGTTCAAATAACCTCAGTTTCATAGTTAGTAATTTTAATTTTGTATATTATACTTTATATTATTAATTTATAGTTATACTTTCAAATTTTGTAAATTTATATATTGTATCTGTACAGTATTCAATAAATCATTCAATAAATTATTGACCAAGCCATTTATTTTGAAATTTAATAATAAAAAGTTTTCGATCATTTGAATGTCAAAATTAGTAAGTATGTTAGCTATTATTTTTTAACAATTTAAAATGTCATACATTACCATGAACAATAAGTAATAAAGTTTATTTAAAATGTACATATAATTTGAAATGTATAGCCATTTGAAATTGACACCTGGTATTTTTCGGCACATACTATATGAGCTAGGGACAACCATAGTAACGTTAACTATTTTATATTTATTATATCTAATTATTAATTTTATACAAAAGTCAACTATTCATAAAATATTCATAGGTTTAAGGTAAACGAGTAGTATTATAACTTATCAGGTTAAAATATTACTGGATTTTAGACCTTTTGAGTGATTCCCTGTTTAAATAAACTAGTTGCTTTTAGAGGTTATTTTATAATTCCTTTATTTGTTATAAATAAATACAATTAATAATTTAAATGTTAATCCTACATTTTATTTAATGATATATTTAGACACATTTAGCAAAGTTGGCCGGATCATCCAAATACTTTCCATTACTACATGTTATTGAATACAGGTGATCATTCATACCCGGGTAATAGACTTTGGGTTTTAGTAACCACGCGTTTCTACAATCTTGACAATCGATGTTAACTCTGATTTCATTACCGTTATCTGGAAACTGGATTAAACGAGTAGTATTATAACTTATCAGGTTAAAATATTACTGGATTTTAAAGTATTAATAAAAATAGCTAACGTTACTATGATTGTCCCTAGCTCATATAATATATATTAACAAAATTTTTGATCTACAACAATTATTAATGTTATAACTTATAAGTATTAGTAAATGGGTTCTGTAGCCCATGCTATACATTTTATAAAGCAGCATATTTAGTGCATTTTAAACAGTGAGATACAAATATTAACTAACTAATTTTGATGTTATCAATACCCGTAAAAATTAATATTATTGTATTTTATTTAACTTCACCATGATAATTTTGTATTAGAAATTTGCAAATAAATTTAAAATATTCTCTAAATGAATTTTATGGTACACATGTTAGTAATTTGTCAAAAACATATGTGTTTTTAAATGGATACACAAACATTACTAACGTAAATATTAAATAATAATATACTACAATTTATAATATTAACAACGAAATGTGTGCGTGCTTATTTCTAAAATTATTAATTATTTGGACGTTAACTTGTATGTAATGAAAATACTTTAAGCTATACTGTAAGCCTATTAGCATGCTATTTATAATTTTAAACAATAAATTTACATTATTACATTAACTTAAGTTTTGTGACATTTTCCAATAAATAATAGTAGTTACCAACATAAATGACACATTCTCATAAATCAATTGTCACATTATATAAAAAGCACCCATCTGACCTAAATAAACATCTTACGTCACAATGGGCTTTGTGAGAGAGTTTATGCTAATGTATAGCGTATTATGCAATACACTGCTATATAAACGCGTGCATCTTATGTTAAACGTGCAGTTATATGTGTAGTGCTCTCCTATGCACATTACTTTATGTATTTGCTATTTAATGTATTTCAATAAAATATAAATTGTCCTCTTGATTTAATTGTATTTATTTAATAAATTGTTTTTGATAAACGCGCATACCTTCAGTAAATTAAAGTAGCAAGCTAATATCTCGTTTGGCGGAGCCGGGTGGCCACCACACCCCCACCCGTAGCTCACAATACTAACCTTACTTAAATAATAATAATTATTATTTTAAGCCGATATTCATGCAGAAAATGATGAAATATTAGATGATATGTTTTCAAAATATGAATTTTTTGGTACTAATCAAACGGTTCCTGATAATGACCAGGATATCAATAAATTGTGTAATTATTTTGGCGACATTACTAAGCCTGGCGGACAATTGTAAGATAATTACACATTGTTAAATTTAAACTGTTACAAACAGTAGACTTATAATAAGTATTAATCATTTAAACATTTATATTTGCCTAGTTTATTTTTGTATTATAGATCTATAATGAGCACCCGAACCAATCCAGATCACATTATGAGTGACAAAACTTTAAATATTTTAACATTAATCTCAATACTGACTAATGTTATAATAGTAACAGTTTTGTCACTGTTAATGTGGCCCTGATTACTGTGCATGCACATCATAGCTATAGATACAGTATTAAGCAATTCAGATTATAGATTATTAATTAATTAAATATTTGGAGTTTAAAAATGTTTATTGACAGGTTTAAATGACAAGTTCATTTTTTTATCAACATCTTTTTATTAAATAATTTATATAAATATAAAACAATTATATAATATACACATCTCAAATTTTTTAAAACACTTATACCATATTTTCATTTTTTAAAAATGACCTAGTTCCAAACATTTAGCAATGGCTGTAGGTTGGTTTGCTAAGTTGAAACCTGATATACAGAGAATAGCCCTACAACTTGCAGCACCACAATATGTATCACAAACATTCCCGGCATTTTGCAAACACCCTCATCGTGTGAAAATAGCCAAGGTTGCTAATGCCAAGGCTATTCAAGCCAAAAGATTACTAGATTGTGTGCAAGGATTTTCCTTGGAGGTGATCCGAAAAGATCTAAAAATGAGCATACACAAAATTTTGTGGTAATTATTAGACTAGTTTTATTCGTGTGGATTGATTATTTATATTATACTACACTATTTTGAACCCAATTTTATGTATTAACAATTGTCTAAACATACAGTATATGGTAGCTTCTATCTATTAAAGGAAATATTTGAATAGGTTTTGAATGGATAATCCGATTTTTAATCTGTTTTCACCAAAATGTAGCTGGATAATTACGTAATCAAATGGTAGAGTATTTGCCATATAATATCATCAGGATAACTTATTAATTTAATTTCAAAGTTTTGCCAACATTTCTCATTGAAATTACATGGGGATTTTACTTCATTTTTCTTAATTTACTCTAAACTCGCTAAATTTTCATATACCTGTAAATAAAATTATAGATTATGGATTTTCTTTATGAATATAGTTGTACAAGGCACAATATTAAACTTATTTAATAACCAATGATATATAATTATATAACAAACTGACATATATTTAATCTGATAAGCAGGATAGACTTTGACCTAGCCTAAAATAAATCAGATAACCAATGGTCAGATAGTTATTTGAGCTTATCATTTAGGCCTTTCGGTGTTAAGGCTATAAGTTGAGTCCTTGTTTAAATAAACTAGATGTTTCTTAAAAATATTATTTATAATAATTAAATAATTTTTAACGATTGTTATTTTATAATCCATTAATTTTTTTATAATTAAATAAAATCAATTATTTAATTGTAAATGCTACATTTTATTTAATGATTTATTTAAACACATTTAGAAAAATTGGCTGGATCATCCAAATACTTTCCATTGCTGCATGTTATTGAATACAGGTGATCATTCATACCCGGGTAATAGACTTTGGGTTTTAGTAACCACGCGTTTCTACAATCTTGACAATCGATGTTAACTCTGATTTCATTACCGTTATCTGGAAACTGGAGCAAGGTACTAAACACAGTCTCATTTAGATAGGGCAATACAGTTTGTCGTAACTTGGTGAACTCAATGTAAACTTGTGACACTGCTACAAAAGCATTTTCTGTAAATGATGTACCTGGGTCAAGTGGATTCTTAGTCAAATTTATATTTAAGACACCACCCTGAAATCCAGCAAGGGTAAAAATACAATCTTCAATTCTTGATATATTATTCAGCGACAGGTCAATATTTTTTAGCAAGGGCAAATCAAAAAAGGCACGATCTTTAATTGTCTGCAATGAACCAGTATATTCATCTAAAGGCTTAAAAGTGACCTTTTCCAATTTGTAAAGCGACTGAAATGCTCTACTCGGAATTTCCGTAATATTTGTCATGCATAAATCTATCTTATTTATACTAGTTAGCGTACGAATAGCGGCGAATATATCATAATCACCTTGCTCGGTATTATTATTTACCGGGCAATGAAATACTTCCAGTTCTTCAATATGATCAGCCGTACCCGAAAATGCCGCTTTATGAATATTGACTAAATTATGCATGCTAAACATTTCGACTGATTTAACTTGAATATCAGCAAACACATTTTCCGGAAGTTCAGTAATATAATTGCTATCAAATAAGCTAATGAAGGCTATTTCTTTATCGGTGCCATCAAGTGCCTTGCTCACATTTTTGAAAACAGCTTTTATGTCGAAGTCGTTGTCGGTATCGCCACACCAGATATGATCTTCACTTAAACATTTGCATGGTGCTAATACATCAGGATCAGCTGGACATTTTGCTGCTATTACCATTGAAATAACATTGACCAGTAATATTGTAATTGTCAAGTTAACTCCTATAATGAAATAATATACATATGTAATTAATGATAATAATAAAATAAAAATAATATTGGTGATATTATTAAAATAAAAGTGCTTACCCATCATTCTCATTATAAATACTAGTAGAGTTGTGAATTGCTCAATTAAACTTATTTAATAATTATAAAATATAAATATTAGTTCTGAGGCTTATATACTAAATAGTTATCAGTAATAACTTAAGTTGCCTAGGATAGAATAGATATTTTTAAAAATTTTGTAATACTTTAATCTGTACATACTACCTACAAGTTTATTTCAAAATTTACAAATTAGGGTGCAATTGTTAATTAATTGTTTTAAAATCTGTAAACATGTGCACTTATAATCCCCTCTTATGCCTAATGTTTTTTTTATCAAAAACGATTAAAGATATATTATATTTTTATTACGTCAATAGCAGACTTATCTAGCTCTAAATTAAATTACACAATTAATGGGAAATGTCACCGAAATTATTTTAAATTTTAACATCAAATGCATAATTACTATTAATAATTTCTGCCTAATTTGATTCGTAGTGTTAATAACAATTAATAATAATTTATTAACCCTATTTTTATTTACTTTTAAATTAAATAATTCAATTTTTATTTTAACTATAAATATTAGTGATTAGCAATAAAAATAATACACTATTGCTTAATATTATATTTAATAAAATATTCTTTTTTCGTGTAAATAATAATTATAATTACACTAGTGCCAATATTTATATTGACAAATGTTGGCTAATTGCAAGTTTATGCCTGCTAATTTATTTTGTTAATAATAATTGTTGCATATTCTTATAATATTAATATTTTCCAATTGTAATAAATTAGTAAGTTTAAAATGATGTTAAAAAAAAGTTCAATTGTCAGTTCTAATATTGAATATAAGTTATTGTAAATTTATATTTTAGGATCCTTTTAAGTTTTGGAAATTTATATTTTATTTTTGTATAATCATTAAAGCATAAAATGTTAATCCATTTATTTTGAAATTAATAATAAACCATTTTCAAACAAATGATCGTGAGAGTTTTTACTTATGTTTGTTATAGATATTTACAAGATTAATGTTTTATTGACAATATATTATG